CCCCCCCCCCCCCCCCCCCACACACACACATTCATAGAATCCCACACAATACGAATCCTTCGTATATCATTTTTATCATCCTCTCGCAATGACGCACATACAAAGATACATAAAGATCCGTTATTTTTCTTGCCATTTACAGCCAGTCTACTTGAAGGCTAGTCTCATCTCAGACGCAGGTATGATAGACTGCTGCAGCTTGCCAATTGCACCTGAGTTTTGCTTCCGAGTGCCCAACAATTACCCGGAGTTGTTGTCTATGTTGCCTGATTGCAATAGTTACGCTAACGTGCGCGTGGATTTTGTTGATCGTTCGTCTAATCTGTTGCACGCAATACCCGTTAAGCATGATCCTTACACTCCAGATAGTATGGACAGTCCGAGTCCGAACGCGCTTATGGCCTCCGGAGAGGTTCCGGATCTTGATACGGATCACATTGATAGCAACAATGTCGCGTCGTCCGCACTGCGATCGACGATCCAAATCACATCGACTGCCTCGTCGAGACGTCTCGTCAACCGAGCCGTGTCGCCGGCTCTACTAAAATCCAGACTGGAGCTGATTGTGCAAAATAAGAGGCACGAGGACGCGGATCTGGATATAGACGTCTCGGATATTAAGAGGAGTCCCAGCGAGTGCCATCTGCGTTTCTGGCCCGACGCCGAGGATCGGCACTGGTGCGTGAGAAAGAACAGATGCAACAGTGATGTGTCGTGGCAACGGTCCCACGTTCTAACGGAGGCCTGGATCCAAGGTAAGGGTCATCAGGGATACCACTCTTTCAGTAATTTTGCGAATCAATCGTCCTCGACTTTGAGTCTGCAGGATGTCGTCGACGGATTACCACCCGATTTAATCATACCGCGAATAGCTATAATAAACGCTAGCAATTTCGAATCAAACGCGAGCTCTGTGTATTTCCACGACGACAGATTGAGCAATTATTCGGAAAACAAATTGAGCGCGTACTCGGACGGTCGCACGAAAACGTTGAGCGGCGAAGCCGTGAGTTCGGAAAAATCAGATGAGATTTGCGACAAGCCGGACGAGGAAGGAAATAACAGATTGACTCCGAATGCAGAGAGAATAATAGAAATTAAGAGTAAAGATACGTATCCGAAAAGTCACAGCGAGCCGCTATCGAGCAAAAAGCCGTACTGCAAAAAGGACAATGGAGAATTCATCGAAGACGAATGCGACATGTGCAAGGAGACGAAATGTCAAATAATAGAAGCGCAAGCTCTCGTAAGAAGTACATCTTATATGGAAAACGACGTCTTCTATGATAATAGGACTAATGACGAATTAATCATGGAACGCGATATTCCGGACGAACCTTGTTTCAAAGGCAAAAATACGCAATTCACCGAGATCCTATTGGAGAATCAACCGAATTCTCAAGCATTACGAAAAATATACATGAATCACGAAAAAGCCCACATGGATCCGGATAGAACAAACGTGGAAATCAATGATAAGCCGTACGAGAGATTTGGCGCGCAAACAGAACCTTTCGGAGATCGAGATTGTGACAGCAATGTGATAAAGATATGCTCAGATGTATACGCGGATCATGCGGTAAGTCACGATACAGAGATTATAAGTTGTGAGAGTAAACAAAGGATGTGCACCTCCAAATGCACGAGAAGCAACTCGGCACATAGTCAGGATATCAGTGATCACGCAGGGAATGTCAGATTAAAGTTGAAAGCTTACAAAGTCACTGAACGATACAAGAGTAATATCATGGGAAAGCGGACTAGGTGTAAAAAGTGTTGTTGCGTAATATCGTGAAAGAATTCTCGCTTTAATATGCACCTTAGAATCTGTGTATAATGTTCCTCTATTGGTTGGTAATGTTTATTTATCGTATTGTTGCGTCCGTAAAAATCAAGAGCAGAAAGTATCGATAATTTTTTTTTCCTATCGAAAAATATACGCGAGTGCAAATCATCGGAGTAAAATCGTCGATATTTTCCGTTCTCTGGAAATGGCGATCGATTATCCTTTTTTTTTCTACTTACATAGAGTATTCCTTTGATAAACTTTATTCCGTCATCTTCCCTCGTATGTTCTCTCGACATGCTAAGTAATAGTGGTCGAGATAACATCTATAGTCGCATCACTGTTTAGCGTAAGACTATAATTTATTTTTACACAATGTGTATATTATTTCATCGTTGACTACATGCCTAATTAATTGCTATGCATTCTTGGGCGTGTGATTAGTAGATCGTATAATTGATGCAATTAATAGAAGGATATTACGTGAACAGACACACTTTGTATATTTCATTGTCAAAGACGCTTAAAAACGACATAAGCGTGACGTAAGAAGAGAAGGATATGATGTTAATTTCTCGCTTGCGCTTTGTGTTTTGTCGCGAAATATGAATTTCATACTCCACCTTGCATGCCGCGAGAGACATTGTCGGCGTGAAACAATGTTTTGCATGTGCATGGTACTCTAATATCGACATTCATTCTACACATATTTTTACTAGGAGATTGTACCCGAGTAATGCAAAATTCTGTTCTCTTCGTTGTACTTGTATATAATTTATAACTAGTATAATCACACGTTACGTAATGTCGCGTTATTTAGAACATACAAATTTATCAAGGATAGTTATGATAGATAGTTTCGCCGCTGTACAGTGTCAAATAATATGTACAGACTGATAAAATCATTACCGGTATATGATGTACTTTTACGCGAGCAATCCTACACGCGTTTGTCCTATTTACTTTATACATATAAAACCGATCGTGCGTGTCCGGATCCTTGATACGCATGGTCAAGAATAATCATTTTCAAGGAAATTATTACCTCGCAGTGTTCTTGTCCATGATTCTTGCAATATACTATAACCTTAATAATAATTTGATCTTATAGATTTATAGATGTGAGAATACATTATACACATATACATGTATAAAGATTTTATTTATTATATGATCACACACACACACACACACACACACACACACACACACACACACACACACACACACACACACACACACACACACACACACACACACACACACACACACACACACACACACACACACACACACACACACACACACACACACACACACACACACACACACACACACACACACACACACACACACACACACACACACACACACACACACACACACACACACACACACACACACACACACACACGCACACACACACACACACACACTATCGTCTCACAATTGAATAGTATTGTCATCGTATATCGTTTGTGCCATTCTAACATTTCACTCTCGTTTCGCGATGTAGCGGTGAAGAATTTGACGGTGATATCGCAAGTTTCGCATTGCGTTTTTCTTTTTTTTTCTCTTCTTTTCTTTTTTTTTAGAAACGGTCTACGCGAACGTATCATGTCGTCATACGTACTGCGTCCTTGCCAAGAAGATATCTATTCGCTGGATTTTTTTTACGAGCATTTCTAAGTGGACACTACTGCCAAAGTTAGATTCGTTGTAGCTTGTTAAGTGAGAAGATATTTTAATTTAAGTGACGGACGTCGGCCGCGCGAGAGCGGCAGGAAATATGTTTGCCTCGTTTGTTTTAACGTTTGTTACGGTTGTCCGGGAAAATGACGGGGGAGCGTTCATTTCGAATCTATCAGACGTCATGCCATCACTTATATCGATACGCATGGAAAGTCATTAATCGAATTGAGTTAACTGGAAGGTAAAGTCGAAGGGAATGTCGTTGAAAGTTTTCGACGAGAGAAACACACGACAATTTGAGCTTATGTTATATTAATGTACATTACTCCACGTGTACCACGATTTTCGTTATACTCGTTTTAGTTATATTCCCTTTATCCTACCTTTTTTTAAGATAGAAAGTAAAATTGCCGCGATGTAGATACAAGTAGTGAAGTTGTCTCGGAAAAAAGAAACGATTTCACGGCGGACGATTTGGTGAGAGAGATTAATCAATTTTAATCTCGACGTATCTATCCATATTTGTTTTCTTGCCATGAGATGCGAGATGCGAGATGCGAGATGCGAAATGTGAAGCAATTTCGTGACAATTGTGACTTAAGATTAATAATATACCTCTCCCCGTTCGCGCTGAAATAATTCTCTCGATACGGATCCGCATGAGGAATCAGTTTTACATCTACGGCAATTATCCGAGCACCGTATCAATCGATTCCCATTTGCCATATTAATTTTAAAACGATGAATCTGTGCGCGCATATAGAACGGAACGCAGAATTCTGAATGCTGTACTGCATTTTTCTTTTATTTTCTACCGCGTAGGCTGATTAGAATGTATCGCGAATTCCTGTCGTGTTGGAATGTATCGTGTAGTAAATAATTCATCGACGAAACCCTTTCCTATATATCTCCCTATTTTGTAAATATAAATTTATTTTTCATACACACACATGAATACTGCTTTATTTATTTGTATCCTTCAGTTTCAGTCTTTTATTACGAATGTACAGTATCAATTTGTTACCATAATAAATATTATTAAATAATAAATATGATTTTGATAGTATATATATATATATCGTCTTGTATTTTATACTTTTCGCGTGAACATATCGGAACAAATTCTATATGTATCTGCATACATAGATAAACCAATGTCATCATATTTGAAAAGTATAAAATACAAGACGATCGAAGAAATTTCTATTAATAATTAATAATCTAACAATAAGTTATATACAAGGAGTTTACAAGAGTTTTTTAAATTGAGACACCTAAATATCTTGAAAATAACGCATTTTTGAAAAGAAAGTTTGAAACAAATTGATTTGTCTCATTATTCTGTACATAAAAGTATTACGATAATATTTTTCATACACACACATGAATACTGCTTTATTTATTTGTATCCTTCAGTTTCAGTCTTTTATTACGAATGTACAGTATCAATTTGTTACCATAATAAATATTATTAAATAATAAATATGATTTTGATAGAGAGAGAGAGAGTATAGAAAGAGTACATATTTTCGTATGTACAGTCTTCATTCTTTCACGAAAAGAGAAAAAAAATCCTCGAAGATTTTAAGAGACGATGAATAGCGCGATCTCTTCCTATTAACGCGTTTTTTTAAATTCCAATATGTTTCATGTGAAAATGCATAGAATAGAAGTTAAGATAATATATTATATGTATATAGAACGATAAAATCTCTTCGGTACGGAAACTGTCTCTCGGGCATTAGCAATTTAGAATCGCTACGAAAAAATGAAAAATTTTTTTATCTATGGAAAATAGGTGTTGTTTACTTAAAGATTTTTTTTCGAATGAATCGAGAGCTCTGCGTGTGCTTATATTAGAAACATCTGGAATTTTACATACACTAACGTTTTTTTGTCCTTGTATGTCACGAGCGCCTAAATTAAGTGTGTTGCTGCTGTTGAATGGCGATTTTGCTGCACTTTGTTTATCTCGGATACTTATCGATTATCGCTTCACACAGTGCGTGTGTATATTTTCATTTAATTTTACACTCCGTACGTTGAGTCGCACTTTTCAATAACTGATTTGCAGCCGCAAATTTCAATCGTGGGGCGCAGTATGGCAGATCTGGGGAAAATTTTGAAAGTAAATAATATTCTCTTCGTTGAGCACACCTTTCCCTTACGCATTTATATTTCTCAACATTTTTATGATTATTATTATTATTATACTCGCATAAATGAGAAATAATTTTACAGAAATCTTATCTATTTATAAGCTTCGACGCTTTTTAGAATATTCAGCAATATATATTCTTGCTTATTCTTACTTTTCATATTTTTTCTCACATATTTCTCTTATCACAGTTATTTATCTTTCGTGATCTTTCTCGCGTAATACAATCGCAATTTATATATAACTTGATGTTGCGGCGGGTCATAGTTCGATTGTTCAAGAAAAGAAACAAGTGGTAAGCATTATAGATATAAAATAGATGCACTTGTTTGTGCGATCTGCACTACTGCGTCTCGAATGCAGTGTCATTAACCATCTTTCTTAATATTATTTGCATATTCAGTATATGAGAAGTTTGTTTATATATACGATATGTATAATATGAAAAATGTATATATCTAGTCATATTTGATGTGGCTTATGATTTCCCGTTAGAACAAATTTCTCGCACACTCGACCGTTATTCGCACACTTTATGCGTCTAATGACACAGTTTTATTTATTGTATTATACATATATAGATTTGATAATTTTTATTATTGTTTCATGTATGTATTATTTTTAATAATTAAACAAAATTCGATACATGAGACGATAATAAAGATTATTTCTTTGATTTTTATTAGTTCTTGTGATAATAAAAAACAATGATTTGTTGAATTATCCAACATTCTAATATATCAATTGAAGAATATAAAAATTATTTGAAGACCTTCCGCGGAATCGACTTTGTCAAATAGTATTATAAGATTTTGGTGTCAGTTCGGTTTTTCACAACAATGCATGATAACAGTTGTCACTTAGAAGAATATTGTCGTTCCTGGCCGCAGAGACGGCGAGGGAAACGCAAGCAGTGACGAAGCCCGGGCTGAGGAGCAGCGAGGTATTCAACGGCATTAGCAACAATAACAATAATGCCGTGAGGACGATAACAAGATACGTACATACGAAGCATGCGGACTCGTCGGTGAAGATCTTTCGAGAGACGATGGTTTGATGTCGTATTTCCGGATGACACGTTCGTTACGTGCAATAATATTAATCGCATACAAATCGATGTCTTTGAATATATAAAATTGTTTAATCCTTTTGGTAGTATTTTGTCGATGGAAAAAACACGATTTACAATTAATTCAAATATTCATTAATTATCATATATTGTGCCATCAATTTCATCATACATTAAAGGAAATTCAATTTTAATTTTTTTTTGCGATTTTTAGAAATGCATTTCGGTATTTCGCAAAAAAAAAAAAATAAAATCCATTCATTACTTTTATAGTGCGTAAAAATTTGTGTCGGTTGGATTAATTGCAACGCCTGAATCCGTCATTGATAAATGATGAAAAACGAGTGAAAAGCGATAAATTGCAAAACACTCGGCACGTTTTAACCGCGACGGTATCTTAATCCGATCCATTGAATATTATCGCGTAATCTGAATATTATAAATACATTCCACTAGCGTAATCGGCAAAGGAATTTGCAAGTATGAATATGAATAACGTCGCGTGCTCGAAGTAGCACGCGTTGCCCTTAATACATCATAACATTTGAAAGATATAAAGGGGCTGTGTAAAACTAAAAACGCGTATATATAAAGACGTTTAAAAGACGTTCTATATATTTAAAAAATATTTTAGGCCTCTTTTAGACGTCTCTCTTCCGGGTTTTTGTGGACCGTTGGGACTGTCGATATCGCGTCGAAGCTGGAATTTGCATAACTAGGCACAAATCACATTTGACAAGTATCAGGTACTTATAATCATATTCTATTACTTTGACTCGAATACTCTTCCTCCCTTTTGCCAAAGATGTTATTGTCGATCGCGTTTTTGAAATTTCTCTCTCACTGCCTATCTGTTTGCACGCATTATAAAGATTTTGTATATTTATTATCGACGTATTATCTTTCTCAATGGTAATTTTACGAAATGTGAATTGTGTAATAACTGTGTACTTAAGTCCAATTGATGTTTGTTTGCGGTTCAAATCTTCTGCGATCTTTAGCGTGTCTTATTGATTGTTCTCGCGCTATACTATTGAACTCGTTACCGTATTTCCTGCAACAAATGTACGTCCCAAAACAAGAATTCTAATTATCAATAAGATTACTTTATGCGTAAGATTACAATTGATTTGTCTCATTATTCTGTACATAAAAGTATTACGATAAGATCATCGAAAATTAAATATTTTATGAGACATTTTATTTTTTATATCAAAATATGTCAGATTAAGATATAAAATAATTCGAGAAATACTTAATGAAAAAATACTTTAGATCTCAAAAAGGGTTATAAGAATATACAATAAAAAGTTGGGGGTTTCATTTAAAAAGATAAAGTTGACCTTGAAATAACCTTGGAAACATCCACCGAATCAGAAATAAATAATGCTGTTGCGTTTGCCCCCCAAAACCAAACAACTTTTGTTTCAAAGTTTCTTTTCAAAAATGCGTTGTTTTCGAGATATTTAGATGTCTCAATTTAAAAAGCTCAACCTGTATAGTCTGTATGAATATATATCTCGAATATGTATGGGGACGACGTGAGATATTCGCGAATCATTTATACTCACGATTCGCTGTGCCAATCCGTTCCATCTTAGATTTGTACACGTTTAATGTAAAAACGTTCACTCTGCCTTTGATTCGCGTGAGTGAAATTTTTGGAGACCTCGTTAAAATATGTACCTTGTACTTATGTTATATACCTAGATTTGTTTGTATTTTGAAGGACCGTTCTCATAAGCGTTAAAGTTATAATTGAAGTTCAAGCTCTTCATCTCTTTCTGATTTTACTTCTAAAGACATGAAGATGTAGGAAAATGTAATGTTTATGAGAGCGATTTGAAAATAGAGTTGGTGAAAAATGTTTCGGATGTTGGATAGATGGGTTCAGTGCGAAGTTTGTGCTTTGGTTGACAGTTTATATATTGATATACGTTATACAATTTGATATGTCGCGTCTTTCAAAGTGTGTGTGTGTGTGTGTGTGTGTGTGCGTGCGTGCGTGCGTGTGCGTGCGTGCGTGTATGTGTGTGTTGAGATATTTACAATGGCATTCCACGAAAATTAGCCGATTAATTCGGATCGATGTGCTAATATCTTTGTATTGTAGACTTATAAAGTTCTTGCGCTTTATTCTATGTAGAAATCACGGTAGGCAAGATCTTTTTTCGTGTCGTTATTTCTGAGCCGTGTGAGAGAAGTATCTTGCATCGAAGCAAGATTAATGTTGTACTTTTATAAATACATACGTACTTACATTTTATACCGATAAAGAGAGAATATCTTACATCTCGCACGATACTTGATAAAATGGAACTATATTTGACGAGGCGAGATAATAAATTTAATGTACGTGTTTCATATGGTTATATCATGATGTTTAGGATCGGTATCATTCGCAATGTTATGGAATCGAAAAAAGATATCGTTGATAATTGTTTCAAAGATTTTGGAGCAATGCACTCATCATTTCATGTACCAAAATATTATAAAAAAAAAAAGAAAATAAAGTTGCGATTCCATAACTTGGATCGGGATATACATATTATTTCTCGGCCCCCTATAGTTTTAATTAAACAATATCGTATATTTTGAGATTTTATAATAATTGTTCTCCTTATTTATACGATTAGGGTAAAGGGCCCGAATTTCGTCCCTCGGCTGATTTATGCTGTCAAGTATTGCAGTCTGCTGATGACTGTGGGAACTTATAATAGAGACGGCATTACTGAACTAGCAGGGTAAATACGTGCATTCGTCCATTTCAGAGTGATTGATAACGCTTTGTTTTTTCACACGCAGTGCACTTTATTATTTGCTAGTATTTGAAATCATATTCCAATATCTAAGATATGTGATTCAATCATTTATTTTTGCTTAGGTATAGTGTATTGTTTCTATTTTCATATTCCGAAGTGGCAATCTCATATTCTGCCACTTGTAATATAAAATATTACCTTAAAATATCCTAAATGTTATTTTTATATTAAACAACTATCCCTCGATATTAATTTATGCTACGTCGGCGATTTCGATATTTATAAAATTATTGTGTCTTTTTTTGATACAATAAATTTGAATCTAGAGTTCCTGTATCGTGCGGTCGATTGACCAATCAAAACGTTGCGAGGCATTATTAGCGCCGATTGAAGCGCATTCTATGGCTGCGTTCCGTGTATAGCCCCAATCATAGACATAGGCCGGTATTCATAGTCAGTTCTTATATTTAAGACCGTCTTAAGCACAATCTTAAGATGTCCTAAATCAATCACAGAGCCGTATTAGCATCTTAAGACATTACTTAAGACGGTCTTGAAATAAGAACTGACTATGAATACCGGCCTATATGAATACCGGCCATAGTATATCTAGACCGAGTGTTGAGGAGTGAGGGCCAAGATGCACGTAGAAAAGGACATACTCTCTTCCGTGCCCCTTGCGTTCTCTCTCACTCACATGTAGCAAAAAGAGATACGAAAGAGTACGCTATCCTACGTGCGAGCGAGAGAGAACGCAAGGGGCACGAAACAGAGTATGGGCCACCGCACAAGCTTCTTTACCCCCACTCCTTAAATAAAGGCAAACGCTCGGTCTAGATATACTATATCTATGGGTACGGCCATATTAAAACACAATGTAGAGGGCAACCACGTTGCTTCCACTGTGGCGATAGGTCCCATGAATCTGATGTTCCTTGCCCTAAAAGCGATCAACCTCCCTCATGTATAAATTGCAAAGATCCTCACAGAACCAATGAGGGCCACCGCACAAGCTTTTCCGTAATGCATTACGTTACGTTAAGTACTGATTCTAAACCTAAACTTGTACGTAATCTTAAACTTCAGTCAACGCACAGAGAAAATCGTAATGTAACAAAAGCATACTACGTTACGATTTTGTTTGTGCGTTGACTGAAGTTTAAGATTACGTACAAGTTTAGGTTTAGAATCAGTACTTAACGTAACGTAATGTGACGTAATGCATTATGGAAAAGCTTGTGCGGTGGCCCTATGTCCTTTTCTACGTACATCTTTACACCCACTTCTTAAATAAAGGCAAACGCTCGGTCTAGATATACTATGTCTATGGTATATCTAGACCCCCCTTGCGTTCTCCCTCGCTCACACGTAGCATGACGAAAGAGAGCGCTATGCTCTGTGCGAGCGAGAGAGAACGCAAGGGGCACGAAACAGAGTATGCCCTTTTCTACGTGCACCTCGGCTCCCACTCCTCAACACTCGGTCTAGATATACTATGTCTATGAGATATACTATATCTATGGTTCCGATATTCACTGCCAGTATTGAAAATCTATAGACCTACTTTACACCGATATACTTTAATACATACTAAATACAATACTGTCCAATCATATCGGCCGCCATATAATTATTTATCGAGAAACGATATTGCGATTCTCCAAGTATCGATGAAGCGGTCGGAAACGTGAAAAGTGAAAAATATTACCATTGAAATTAATGGTAAAATTTTTCATTTTTCACGTTTCCGTCCTAGGGGAAAAGTTACATGATCAATACCCTGTACTGAAAATCTATAGTTTATGTCATGTACACTATGGACTTACACAGATATATTTTAATAAGTACTAAGTACTACATTGGCAAATCATAGCCAGTCCTTTAAAGAATGAAATGTCTGTGATTGGCTAGTATAGTATTTAGTATGTTTCAATATTTAGCATCTCTTTTCAATAGCGACTGCGCACAATCGATACTTTGCATTGCATTATGGGTTGCAAAAGGCTCGTGACTTAACCTTCTTTTATATAACCTTACGCGTTATGAGCGATATCAGCGACCTCTTTTGTCTGCCTTGAATCTCGAATCGTCATCAAAAATCATCTTCGCATCGTATTTCCCTTGCCGAAATGCAGCAAAAGTGAGATTGACGTATACCACGTCAATTTCACTTTGGTCAGGTATGTATCGATATTTTTTCCAATATTGAATAATGATAAGATGAGAATGGTAAAATTGCTCGCTGTGAGAAATAAATCTTTTCTGAATTTACATTTTCCGAGAGAGGGCGATTTCGGCACTATATATGCTAGATCTTGGCTCCAATTCTTGTATATACTTGAAACAACTTTTGTACGCGACAGTTTGAAATATAATGTCTGTTCTTTATAGCTGAATTGACTGCACTAGTTCAAAGCTTATCTTTCTCCTTCCAATGGGGAGAGAAAAAGATAAACTCTGAACTAGTGCAGCCAGTTCAGCTATAAAGAACAGACTCATTGTTTCGTAAATAGTCGCATGAGATATTCGTCGTCAAAGCGTCAAGGATCGTTTCATATGCGCGCGCGAAAGCGACGATAGCGCCGATTAAGGACGCCGCTTGCGCCCGCGTCTTCGCACACGGAAGTTTTGTCAGCGAACGGAAGTCGCCGCGCGTAACAAGAGTCAAGAAAAATCGGCGTGAGGCGAGAGCCTGGTTGTATATACTAGAGATTACGTGCATATACATATACATACGCGAGGCACGTGCAACGTTATTGACAGTTTATTCGACAGATTTATTACAGTGTCTTGGTGCCCGTTGCATCAAGCTTTGCGAATCGATAAATTAATTTTCGCATGATTCCGCGTGCAAGTTTCGAAAAGTTTCTGTCGCATTCGCACGTTGGCGTTGGCGGTGGCGTTTGGCGTACGTATGCGCGCGTGCGCGTTCGCGCTTGCGTATATGCATTTATCGTTTCCTCGTCGTCGCGTCGTCGTATGTCGCATATCGCATGCGTTGTCGTCGAGTCGTCGCAGTCGGTCTGCGGTTGCATGGCGTTCTACGTAGTGCGTATGTGCGCTTGAATTCGACGGAGCCGTTCGTGCACGAGATACCGGCGCCCGCATTCGTACGGCCAAGTCCACGTCGCGAGTAGTTGGCCGCGACGAGAGTAAGAAAGGACGATTATTAATATTTGAGCTGAGGAAGCGAACTAGCAGCTAGCAGCGACGAGTTAGAGAAGGAGCGAGCGAGCGAGCGAGAGAGAGAGAGAGAGAGAACGAGAGAAAGTGAGAGAGAGATAGAGACAGATAGTAGAAGCAAGGTATAGGCATATTATTTGTCGTATATTAAGTGGGGGCTTGACGCGGGCTTGTAACGTTTGCACAAAGATCGGATAAGAGAAAAAAAAACAGGGCGTGGAGTTTAACCGGGCGCGACAAATAGGCACGCCGCTAATCGCTATCGTGGCCATGGGTAAGACGCCAAAGAAGGCGGCCCCTGGGGGCGATGAGAGGAATTTGTACGTTCGGAGGCTCAAGGCAACGACCGCGCCGTCGAGAGCTTCTGAATCTAGCTTGCACGAGAGACAGCGCGAGTCCGAGAGTTTGAACAGGTTTGTAGAAACAATCAGCAACAACGAATTGCAAATTTCGCCAGAGTTTCTCAGTCATACTTCAATCCACTTGATTGACTCCAAGGCATTCAAAGAAAAAAATTGTGAATTATGCAGTACGGTTAGTTTTTTCTTTTTCTTTTTTTTTGTGCCACATTTGGGAGTTGGTAATTGTTTGCCATTGTAGTTTAAAAAGAGTTTTGTATTCTGTAATATTTGGTAGAGAAGAATTCCATGATTGTATTAAGTTTTGTAACATCTTTACATATATTTTTTTTTTACATACACTGGCGGATCCTGGGAGATGGTTTTGAGGTTAACCCCCCCCCCCCTCTTCCAAATTAAAAGAAATAATTGTAATCCGATTTGCGAAAATATTTTCACTATTAAACCAAATAATTTTGTAAAAACCCCCCTCATTATCGACTTCAGGATCCGCTAGTGTGTATATATAATATATTATATTATCGTAGTATATATATATTTACAAAATTTTGGAGAAAACTTTATTAGTAATTTGAAGAATTAACTTTGAAGTAACAGCCAAATTATATAAGATTTAATCAAATAAATCGATAAGAAAGATTGAGAGAGAGAGGAGAGAGATATTTCAGAATCTTTATACTTATTTGAGAAAGAACGATATTTTATAATAATGTATGTATGAGGAAAATATATACTTTTTTTTTTCTTTTTCTTTTTTCTTTGAAAAGACATGAGAAACTTTGATTAACCTTGTTTTATATATTCTTAAATTAGTACCTCTCATCACCTCCAGCATTTACTCAAAGGCCATCTGCCATATGACTTATCTCTCTTCGTTGATTATGAATATCTTAATTTTGTTTTAGGCCGAAATTGACTGGAGTGCAGAAAAAAGTCCCAGCTGGACCAGGAAAAAATTTCAAGGTATATGCTTCTAATTTCTTTCTTATTATTGCTTATTATTTACAATATATTCAGAAACTGTTATAAATTTGATAAGTATATGATTATATGTGATGACGGATAGATAATTGATTGACGGATAGATATATATGATTATTTTGAGCCACTCATTGCAATATACAGATATTAAATAATTGTTCAGAAATTATATATTATATTTATATAATTATTGGAAATGTTATACTTTATTTATTTAATATGTTGTATTTTATCAAGTTATATAATATTAGGTGTTTATTTTGATTGGCAACATTAATATTTTTTCTAACATATTTTTAACATTGGTATTTTTTTGTTAAATTTATAATTAAGATAGTATTATCTTTTATTATAGATTAGGTATGGAGGCATCAGTATAGTATGTACACTCGAAATGATAGTTTTATAATATATTTGCATAATTATTTAATCCTTTATTTTTTTGTTGTCTACTTATATTATCATTACCAATTTCCTTATAGTATTCGATGTTTATATTATATTATTTTTCCTTATTAGAATTTGATTTCTCTATTTTCCTTAGGTAGATCTTTATATATGTCAATCTTGCGTGTATTATAATCTATGCATAAATATAATAAAATGTTAATTATTAAATATAATTCATACGCTATAGAAATGATATATATATATATAATATAAAACAATTTTTATATATAACGTCTCGTTTGTAATTGAAATAATCAACATTTTACATTTTACATTTTAATAATCAAAATTTTACATTTTAAATGTAAAATTATGTATTATACAATCAAAAGCTTAATAGATGATTAAAATTGTATAAATTATAGATATATAAATATGTATTCTATAAGATAAGTAAATTTATTAGATTGCATATAAATATCGTATAAAATAATATTACATTATATAAGTAATATAAAAGTATCTGAATATGTACAAATTATCTGTTAGGTTACTTTCTTTGCAATGTGTGTTGTAGAGCAAACTTCGCCCTCCAACAAAGGGTGGACTTAATCAAGCATCAAAACAATTAAAATTGTCAATGAAAAATCCAGAAGCGAAGACTGCAGACATGCAGGGATCAGAAGAAGCTGAAGTTAAATTAAACGTCTCAATTCAAAAGGAAAATATCAAGGAAGAGAATGGTAATAAAGTTGTCAAAACTGAAGAATCTGCTACTGATAAAGAATGTGTTGATCACATTGAACAGGCATCAGACAAACTTCAAACTTCTATAAAGACTATCGACGAAATTGTATCTATTGAAAGCAAAAATATTTCTCAAGAAAAAGAAGGAGTCTCATTAGAAAATGTTAACATTGCAACCACAGAAATGGAAGAAGACAATGATATAAAATTAACATTCGATATAGAGAAGAGTCCTATAAAAAATGGAGAGGAAAAATTAAATGACAAACGGCCAAAAGACGATAACTCTGGAGAAGAATTACAAGACCAACTGAAGAACGGCATAAATGAAAAAGAAGAGATACAAAGCGAAGCTCAAACAGATATGGAAAGTTATTCAGTGGACATTGTTGAATCTACAACATCGGAGCTATCTGAAACATCGGAATCCATTTCTCTGAATGATACACAGAAGGATAAAGAAAAGATTGATGATGTTGTAAACAATGAAGCATCTGTTTCTTATGATTCATCTACGCTAAAAGATTCATACATGCTAAAAGATGTACATGTCATGCTTGTAAGATCAGATTGTGTGAAGGATAATTCGAAGCTTTTGGACGTAAGTAATATAGAAGGCACACCGAGTCAACTATCAAAAGATCTGTCATTTGGCAGGACGCTAAGGAACATCTCAGGAAGACACTCAATCGGTAGGTCGCGTCGTATTACTTTGCGCGAGAGGATATCACCTAATAGCTCTCTTTTTGTGAATACATCAGACATGTCAATAGCTCAAGATGAAGGGACAGAATCTAAGATCTTACATTACAGCAGTTTACTATCCGACATTTTCCCTAGAAACGGTAGCCCATTGGACAGGAAACGTAAAATTGAGACTAATTGGGATTCAGCAAAAAAGCAGAAAACGGATGACGAGAGTAGTTCATTAAATACATCTATAAATCTAGTGAAAGGTTTTGTCAAACCTGTGCTGATATCCACACCAAAAAGCACACCTTATAAATTTGAATCCACTAAATTAGACATTAGTGGGATAAATGTTGACAACAATAAGAAAATGAGTGAAACAACTGAAAGTACAAAGAAGACATGGTGTGTCATCATGTAAAATTTCGGCCTGTTATATCCACTAAAAAAAAAAAAAAGAAAAGAAAAACAGGAAAAAATTTATATTTTCAAGAAGTACTAAAGTTTAAATGATCAGAAACACATTCATGTATATCGCCTTTTGATAGTGGATAATTTTTTTCTAATTAATCTATTAGAAATAATCGAAATCTCATTTTTTTATATTTCAAAATTTGTCCGAAAACAGATGTACTTTTCTAATTTTTAGACATTTCCTCTTTTCGATAGCAGAGAATATAATGTATTTTCAATAATTAAATTAGTCTAATATTATATTTCCATTATGCAGATTGTGCTAAAACTGTTTGTTAGTGTATAATTTTTTATATATTATCACTTGCTATCTTGAGGATAAAAAATTTGTTAGAAAGAGAAAAGTAAACTATAATGATGAAAAAGTACAATTTTATTAACTTGACATGACTATTTTATGAACAAAGACTTGATTTTAAATAATAAAATACTAGCTTTTGGCATAGTGCGATATAAAATAATTAAGCGCATATACCCATACAGAAATGTAAAATGTATTTTATTACAATACATTAATTTATATCCTGCATAATCTGTATTTATCTCCAATACAATTTTGTAGGTAGAGATTGATACATGATAAATACACAGATGAATACACGTATAAGTTTTATTTTACTTAGAAATAGTTCTGTAACGCAACATTACAATATATTAATTTGACAAAATATTAATCTGGGAATAATTTCTTGTATACTATCTCATATCTGTAGAAAAAACGTATATTCTATACATTTATTTCTCATATATCGTGGAATATTAAAAAGACATCTCTGTGTTTAGTTCTTAATAAAGTATAATATTTATATTTCTGTAATTTAATAATGTTGATGAAGACTTGTGTTACGGATATGAGAATTTACTCTACACAATTATTTCGAATAAATTTTTGAAGATTAATTGTAATATTGATATGAACGTATATTTTGCTTCAGTTATAGCGAATTGTTGCTATGAGATAAGTATATCTGCATTTATGATATCAGTGATTTTTTATGATCTATCATTAAGAAATATTCCTGTTGGTTATTACAAATGATCCATATTATGATAACAGTTGTTCAAAAGATTTAATAACTTGTATATTGCAATGTTATATGTATAATTTTTTAATTAATTGATAGATTGATTCTATTTTTTTATAGAAGACAAGGTAATTTTTCATGTGCTATTCACATTTGATATAAGAATACTCATTTTTATCGACAAATATAAATATGTTGCAATTAAGAAAATTCAATGCGTAAGGAGTATTTAAATATGAAACTGTATAGCATCATACAGTATATTTTAATAGCGAAATAAGAATTGTATGAATTGTAGAAAAGACATATTTCTAGAAAGATTTCATTTCATATGTGCGACTTTATTTGTCAAATTCGTGCATTCAAGACCTCTCATATTTTGCCATAGATATATTCTTGTTTAAGAGGGTGATATTATGCCTTAATATGAAATCTGTTGGGATATACATACTATGTAACGAAATAGATATATCTCTTCGACCTTCCATCGTATTGATAAATGAGAAGTAGAAACGGTTAAGACAATTCGACCAAAGTAATTTCCCAATGTCACTCGACCTATTCGTTTAGACCTGTCGAGTAATTCTCCCTTAATTACTAAAATTATATATTGCAAAAAAAATGTGTTTGATTTTATATCACGATGTTGAATCATTATTTTGTCAATTTGCTGCGAATGTAATTTTTAAAATTACTAATTATTCGGGACTAAACGAATAATCGTTAAGACATACTTTTATACTTAATCGATTAGTAAAAGCGTTAGAAGTATATCTAAGAGAATGTATATAGAAACCTCTCTATGAGATTTATAATAAACTCTCGAAACTGCAAATTTTATTGATTGTTTCACCGAATAAATTACCAATTTTTATTTCTGCATCCACACAATAGGAAGGAATAAATTGATTTTAAATATATTGTATGTATACTCTTTTTAGTTTTTGTTTAATAATTATCAAATTATTATGAGATCCGTACACTATGTATATAGTATATTGTTGAATTTATTAATATAAATATGATATGTTTCAATATTTCTTTCTTCATATCTTTGCAAAATATTTTTTTCAATTATAATAAATATATATTTTTGCAAGATATATTTAAATATAATAAACATATATAATATATATTTTCGCACTTTCAACATAAATATAAAAGTCATGAATATATAATGAACTGCAGTAGGATGCAAAAGTTGGCAGTAAGATATTTAAGTGGATAAAGAAATAGCCACGTATCTCTTTTTTTGATCCCATTCCAAAAGTATAGGATTAAATCAACAACAGCAGAGAGGTACATTCGTTGGACGGATGGCTTAGCTGATATTACTAACTCAGAAGACCAGGTATAGAGAATTATTAATCATATTTCATAGTTTGTAGATTTAATCGCATGACGTTAATCTTCTTGAAATCTGAAGCATTACCATTCCTACGGTAACATCGCATAATATAACATAATTTAAAATATAATTATTAGATCTCTCGTTATTATTGCTCTGTTAAAATTAAATTTTGTTTTAGAAAATGTAATAGTTTGTTTCAGAATATAATATTTAAAATAAAACAAAATTGAAGTTATGAGAAATTTAATTTATATCATTATAATAATGTAAAAACATTATTATTTATTATCTACTTTTCTTATTATATTTATATGGTAATAATATTAATACAATAATAGTAGAGAGAAACCGTTTGAAGATATAAAATTATTAATGTCTTGTCGAATTAGTTAGGAACAGCGACTTCTTGAAGCATAATCCTTGCCTCAATTATACGTGGTATATTTCAGTACATTAAGACTTCCTCTCAGACGATACTGTTTCAGCTGCGCTGTAATAATTAAGCTTGATTCGTCTGAATTTCTATCTTGATATCAATCTTTATTAATATCACTCCTTTCTTTCTCTTACAATTATTTTTAAATAAACTCTAAGAAACGTTGCAAATGTTTTATTAAAAACTTTTATTAACGTTTTTATTATTAACGTACTAAATTACCTAAATTATGTACGTAATTTTAATATAAAGGTGTATATGTGCTTTTGTGTGTTTGTGTGTGTGTGTATGTGACTAAATAAAAATAATATACAAGTACTTTTATTATAATAACCATTAAATAGAGTTTATCGATTAATAAAACATCGATCATATCAACAATTGTTAGTACTGTGATTTTATGTAAACTTTTTGTGTTATATATCGAGTATTAATCTCTTAGCTTAGATAAATAACAAAATGTTAATATTTATTTGAGTTTTATAAAATGATTTTTTAAATTGTCCCTTATTATATTTTATCATTGTATGTATAATAGTCTTTTTTATATGGTCATATTTTTTAACAAAAGTTAAATCTGTACAATCTTCTTAAGTTTCGAGAATTTACAAATAAATAATTAAATTAAATAATTTTTCTTGCTAAAATGTCAATAATATTAAATCGAAGAGGTTAATGTTTTCGCAGATACAGCGATTCGAAGACACTCAATTTTTGTCTTGTAATAAAAAGAACACATCTTTTTTTTCTATAGAATAAATAGCAATTTGAATGAATATAATATATAAATTATTTTTTGTTATAATTACATATATATTATCTACGAGAAAATAATAAACGAATAGTTTTTATTATTTTTAGTTACTCCCCTTAGCAAATATGGTATATAAATATGCACATTTTTTTTCTCCATTCGATTTCGCGTATAATTTTTTTTTTGTTTGCCATTTATTGCATACCACATATTGACCATCATTCGTTCGTATCATTCTTTTTTTGTCTTGATCGGATAAAACACGCATAAAAACAAGAATGCAGGCATATACAGTACTTCAATAACACACCGTGTCATACTACCCTGAATTCTTCATTAAGCGATCGATGAAATCACGAGCAACACGCGCGAGATACATTTCTGAAATTTAAGGTCCGATTACGGCGTCAAGGGTCAACGATGTGGAATGCATATCATGAACACGCACGAAATTGGATCTGCCATGCAGCATCCCATGTGAAAAATTTTCTCTGTCTTTCATCTACTGATATAGTTATCTCTTCGTGACCATATTATAATTGCAAATTTAAAAACATTGCTTGAAAATATTTGTTTATATATCTTACGAATTGTAATTGCACAAGTCTAGAAAACGATTGTTTATTTTATTGTCTGATGGTGTCAATCATTTGTTCGAGTTTATATGTATTTCTCTCTCTTAGAGAGAATAAGTTTCACATATAAGATATTTTTTTCGTCAAGATCGTTTAAATACCTAAAGCGACAATTCTGTATAATAATAAATGTACTTTTTATTTTTTACAGAGGTGCCGCAAGTACTTCAGCAGGTCATCACGACGGCCCTGTGAAGGCAGGGACCCTGACAGCCCTCCCGAAGTCCTGGCCACAGGACCGATCTGATCCTGATCCCGTATTGATTCGGGGAAGCGTGATGCCTTACGTGGACCTCTCTGCGAAACTCCAGACTCTGTGCTACATCGAGCACCAGCGGCGTAGAACGTGCCAGACACGCCCAGGCCAAAGTGGAACACGCGGTGGCATAACTCTTGACCTCGGCGCAGCCACGCAGACACGGAAAGTCGTACAGTGTCCTCTCTAACTGGCTAACCACCTGCTCGGCAACCTCACGGGAACCGGTCTGCGCGCCGGAAATGGCCAGTTGCCGTTTTATGCATTCCTCAAGCTCCGGCGTCGTCGCCGACGTCTGCGATGCGGCCGCGCCGTTCAGGATCTTCAAGGCCTCCAGGCGCCTCGATGTCTGGACCATGCCGGCTAAACGCCACGAGAGCTGCGGATGAGATACGATGATTAGAAGCTGCATAGGCTGCGACCGGTAACGTAATAGCTTTCAATTCTATTAGAATATGCATGCCGTTAGAGGCTTAGCGTCTCTAACGGCGTAAATTACGCGCGTCTGCTACGACCCCATGCCGCGAGCTTCTCTTCCACGAATGTTTAGAATATTCAAGACGAGTGAAATTGAATGAGAAAGAGTTGTCGGATACGCGTTTCGCGTGCGGCGTAGTAGAATTATCATTCACCCAACGGATGTTGGGTAGAGATTAGAGTGGAACAGGTTTTATAACACATTTGCTGATTCATGATTGACGTTGACACATGATTTATGCATCCTATGTTCCGATCGTTTTGCTACAGACGATTAAATAGTTTTTTTCAGGCGACAGATTTATGATATCCCGATATATTTGATTGTCAGAGTCGTATTTGATAAATATTAGTTTGCAAAGTTGGAGATATATTGAACATATTTCATCATTAATAATGTTCTTTACATTTTATCGAGTAAATCATCATACTCTTATTATTGAAATAAAAAACTTGTAACAGTAGTAAATTACTGTATATTATAGCAGTAGTATTCTATTCAATAAAATATATAACACTATGTTTTTTTAAATGATATCTGTAAGAGATATTAGATATGAGATATTAGATAATATCTCAATAATTTTCATAGAATTTAAAATAATTTTTTATTCTTTGCAAAAGTATAATGACGTGTGTATCGTCGTAAAATCAAACATAGTATCTAAAAGTACTCGCTAAAAAAATTGAGTTTTGTTTCAATTATTTATAATTTTTACTTATATCGAATGATCACGTTGGTTTGTGTATCTCGTATAAAAAAAAAAAAAAAAAAAAAAAACGAATCCGGTAGGATGATTATTTTCTCCAATACCGTTAATACGAGAATTACATTTGATTGATAATCAATTTTACGTACAAAGTATCGAATGTATTTATAATCGCGAATCATCTGTGAACATATAATAGCTCATAGAGATTATATTGTTAACATATTTTGCCGCTATCGTGCTTATTATGCTTATTATGCTTATTATGCTTATTATGGAAGATATGTCGATCGTAATCTCTATGAAATCGGGGACAGCATTGAAGTCACCGCCGTAAGAATGTCGGTCGTTTTAATTAACCGACGTGCAAGCGTACTTGTTCCGCATTATTCCGGTTATCGCGTAATTGCGACGGAATTTCGCGGGATCATGTCGCACGAAGGAATCCTCTCCGTTGGATTTGTACTCGGATTTACACAATGGTAATATACGAGCATTGTTGATGAATTACTGCTTTTAACGGCGGCTCATCCTGAACAGAGCGCGACTAACTGTATATCCGGTACCGTTACAGGTGCGAAAGTTCGCGCTGTCGTATTACAATCCGTACGTTTTTTACTCGCTCGTCACAACAATTAGCTATTTTATGCATAATGAATCAGAAGAAACGAGCGTTAAAGCTTAACGAGTCAGTGGTGTTGTATTGCTACGAGGACACAATACAAGAGTATAATTTTTGCGTAACCTAGTATTCTCTATTGTTTAAAAGAAATCGACATTTTTGAGGTTGATTCACGAGAATCTCTCGATTTTTGATACAAATATTCCGATCGCGAACATTAGAATCATAATATACTTCTAACGGAACCGTGATTAATTCGTGCAATAATGTTTCATTATATTTGGTCGATAATTTGAAAAAGTAACAATCATATATGTATAATATGTTTAATATTGAGAAGGTGATATCAAATGTCGACTTCCACAAAGAAGTATTTAAGTTGAGGGTAGCCAATTTATCGAAATATCCACGGTAACTTTTGGTTTATATCAGTATCAAGAATGTTGAAAGTTATCGAACTGCTGGTATACGCAATACCTTCAATCTGCGGGATTGAGTTAGAACTTACAATTAAAGTTAGAACTTGCGTTCTCCGCGTGACTGGCGACTGAATATAGCGTGGGCTGCAACCTACATTGCGCGCAAAATATTAAATTGAATCATAATCGGCCGCTAACGCTATTGTTTATGTACGAAATGACGCGACAGATTAATTATTATTCGTCATCGAATAAGCACAATCGACCCTCTTCTAAGCTTTCTCCGCGTATTTACAATCGAGAGGAGCGTTAGTATTTCTGGGACACTCTATATAACGTGCGTGGGAGTGTAAGAAAGAGTGAAAAAAAAATTACCATCGTTGCAATATCTATTTTATCACGTGTTTCTCGCGTGTGAAAATCATCTTCCCGCTATGCAACATATTAATTGCAGCGCTATTGCAGGCTGTCGCTATAGGTATACATAGATACATACATAGATACACTATGCATGATTGTCCACAGTTGATTTAAATTCTAAAGAAAACTGATACTCAACGCATATTCTGGCTATTAATCGATTCTTTCCCGCGAAGAATTCGATTTAATTAACTCATCGGAATTAAGATAGAAAGATTTAACCCCCCCGTAAGCTCATTATTAATAATTCGTGACGTTTTATTATTAATTAATTGAAAATTGACTGCCCTGAGATAGATTCTTATTCAGTTGCAATGTCGGGCATTAATTCATGAGCACTCTCTTACAATACTTTAAATTTTTTTATAGAGGCGCAAATATATATATACGAGCTTGATATGTAGAGAATGTTTTTTCTGAATTATATAATTCATTAATATTTATCTTTTTTGAGGGGGAGGGAAAATAATTTTATTTGAAGAACTGACTTATATAAATTATTTCTTATCTCTTAATTTTTTTTCTAAGTAATCACAAAACGACGAATGATATTGTAGTGATGATCGCATTTTTAAGGAAGGAATTGGGAATTATTATCATCGCACTGATACATATTTATCAGTTAATGTTACTAGGCTCTATCTAGGAATATATTCAAATACGCACGAAGAGATGAAAACTTGTTCATAAAATAAGAGAAAAATGTACGAGATAAGTTAAGCAGCAAGGAAATTTCTTCGTCATGCTTATTTTATCACATCTGTATGTGAAACGAAAAATAGCAACGCGACGGCTGAATAGCGAATTGGATCTCTCCGTTTGCATTATTTAAGAAAATGATTGCCTTTGCGTATTTTATCCGGCGCGTTAGTAGGAAGCAGAGAGGAGAATTTTATCGGATTCTTCAGGCCTTTAAAATATCGATCAACAGCTGTCAATATTTTACTTTGCTTCTTTTTTATGCTACTTCGTCGTTTTGGCGATATTCGTACATATAAAAATATTCGTACATATCTCAAGTTATTTTGGGCTGAAGTATAAATCTCGTATTGTCGATTGAAATCCGCCATCTGCGACGGAATTAGCTGTCGCCGTTCATTTGAAAATGACGCATGAACGCCGGGGATTGCTGTAGCGCTAATTTTGGCATCGTCATCGAAATTACGTTGCATATCTACGCCTTTCGAGGAAGATAATACATATTTCGCGAATTGTCTCATCAGCCTGGTTATCGACCAAATGACAGCAGCCCATTCTACAAGATGATAATAAACACGCGCACGCGAAAGAGAGAAAGAGGTAGCGAGGAGACAGATAGTCCAGGTTGTGCGCGCGCGCGTATATGTATATGTATATGTATATATGTATATGTATGTGTATCGCTTTCTTCGTAGATATTTATTTTAGTTCATCGATTTCCCAGATATCCGTGTGAAAGGTACCTATATGTATCCGTGTATATATGCAAAGTACCTAATAGCCTCAGGCTGACAGAACAGTGTATATATATATCTTTCTCTCTCTCTCTCTCTCTCTCTCTCTCTCTCTCTCTCTCTGTCACTTGCCGAGTATACTCCATTGCAAAAGTGCGCTCTCTGCCCGGCCTTCTCTTTCGCACCACCACAGATCATCCCTTCGCTCTAACCCTGGCAGCTTTGACGTTAATGGTCCATCGATCGGGCGAGAGACAGGTGCGTGGTAGTAGTAAAAATAATCTTACAGCACACTTATATACCTATGTATATACAAATATCATCAATGCTCTATTCGAAATTTATGATTAATTGTCGTAAAAAGATATGTCTTTTTGTACTTTTTCTCTCCCTTTCTCTCTCTTGTTTTACGTCGCCGTTTCTTTTGGCTTGTTCGCTAATTAAAAAAAATATTAAGAGTCAATGTTCTTCAAATGGATTGTCGAATACACTGATTTGCGAGAGACGCACGTTTTGTTTTAAATAATGCAATTTCCTCGGAAATACACAAGTGTAATTTTAAAACACCCTATTGCACGCGCGCTTGCACTCGCTAATGAAGAGATTGTACGCTTTTAATGCGGATTGGTATTTCCCAAATAAATTCCGATTTTTCTTTCGTCTATATGCGCGCTTATTGCATGCGATTATACAATGCTATTACATCTGCATATGGAATTATACCTATACATGGAATTATATCTGTGCATGCAATTATACCTGGTGATATTCGGTTTTTAATGCAAAAAATGTTTGTTTAATTAAAAGATGTCGGAAGTTAATAATAACGTATATATTTTGGAGTGATTAGTTAAAATATTATATTTGCAATATAATAATCGCTCTTAAGTTCTTAAAAGTCGTCTTGTACGACTTTATAAGTTTTTATTCAAAGACTTCGTTGATCGTAAAATTGCGTTTTACGCTGTAATGAAATTATTTGGATAAACGAGACGACGCGCGACGCGGACGCGAAATGGATCGCTTTACGCTTCACCTGCAATGAAGAAGTTTACTTTATAAAGACCTGTTCTCAAGCCAGCAGTAAAAAAGAACTTATTACTTATCAGCACAGTGTGAAATTCAGAAAAATTTATAAATTTAAAAATCCTTTAAATATATCTATTGATTAATTGTGTCTTGTGCAGTTTCTCACCTTTTTAAGTTACATTTGTTATGATATCTGAACTTGGACCAAGTTTTTATTCTCCTCTTTTCTACTTTGCGTATTCTCCATTTTTGAGAAATATAGTAAATCAAATTTATACGCGTCTGATATTTTTATTTATTTATATACATTTTGATGAATTTGATAGCCATCTTTTTTATTAAGAAAAATTGCAGTATCAAGAATCTTTGAATCATAAGTCACTGAAAATGAAGGGCTTCCCGTGAATTAAATTTGAAAAGTAGATAACGGAATCTTATTGTTCACTTGATTTTACGTAAACTTTAATTAAGCTTCAATATTTGTTATATAAGCTTAGTCTTCAAAATATTTAATATTGATAAGTTAAAGATTGCGAAAAAAAAGAGGATTTTTCGTTATAAAGAAAACTTTCGCTATAGAAAAGATGATGAAGAGCGACTTTAAATTATTTGGAGAATATTCGGGGGAATGGAGATACTTGAGGGTAGTAGAGATCTTCTATATAACACGAATTTCAAAGCATGATTACAGGTTGTGTAAACCAAATGCGGAGTGCGCGTTACGCGGTAGGATCGTTTGTAGCGTGCTTTCACATTGTCCGGCGCGAGAGTGCAAGTGGAGAACAAGGGTCGACATACCACACTTTCGGTCGAGTGTACGCGTCCTCCGTTAGATTTCGACGAGTCTTTTTCTTTTTCTTTTTCATGATATATAATCGGCGCTTTTTCGGTGCTCGAGAACCCGATCGTAAGCTTTGCGCTTTGCTTCGTTTTTTTTTTTTTTATCTTTTTTTTTTTTGCATCTCGAGATGCGTCGCTCCGACTATATCTGAGAAATGGATTTCGTTCTCCTACGCATACAGAAAAATATAGCAAAATTTGTCTCATTATACTTACATTTCCATACTAATCATAATGATAATGATCATTTATCGCTATTGTACGATATTATTAGCGTTCAATGCTACGACAGTACTGAGTTTCCATAGCAACCTGTGAAGTAACAGTCAATGTCGTGAAGCAATGTCACGCGAAAATGAGCTTGGCGAGTTTATACGATAGTAACTCGTTCGATCATTCTTGTTGACACGCGAAACTAATGCAACTTTATTTTTAGAGAAACGTATGTTTATATTCAGAGTGACCGAATTTATTAAAGAGAGTAACAAACTTCTGTTTTGTAACAAAAAATACTTACACTTGAATAAACATATTTATGTTTGCTTTGTTTATATAATCCAAGTTTAAACGAGATTTTAAAATGTTAAAAAATTTACATCGATGAGAGAGCATATATACGAACGGATTAAAAAATATTCACGGAATAAAGTTATTGAAACATTGAGAGATTTTCCGATTGCGCGTTGAATGACTTAATCTCTTTGATAATTACTATACGCCAATTTTTGCCAGGAGTTATTCGCACAAGGCTTAACCCAATATCACGTTACATGTCCTGACACCTTTAACATGATCTTTGTTTGCTCGTGATGACGTATATACAATTTCTGTGAGCCGTACATTAGCCGCTCAAACTCATGTGTATATCGGTTTAATTGCGCATGCATTAAACTGACCTCTGACGTTCGACTTTTACGGATTTTTTTACGGCATTGTTTCTCGGATTTATGTCATTTATTATAAAAATAAGATTATTATAAAAATAAGATTTGTGCAAAATTTGATTTTAAATCAAAATTTAATAGTAGAACTACCTCTTTGTCATTAAAGAGATATTGAATTACATTTATTAACGGTTTAAGCGTGGGAATCTCTTGCGTAATTATGGAATAAGTGAAATTTGCATATATATATATTTGCATAATTTAATTTATGTGTAAAATGATATGTAAACTGATATACAAAAAAAAATGTTTTGTACTTTTATAAAAACAGGAGAGGGGGGGGGGGGGGGGGGGATCAATTTTTCGAT